GCAATTCTTGTGGTGAAGGAGTTTTACGCTAATATTCATGGAATTAACCAAGGAGTCATCTATGTTTGAGGCAGGTGGGTACGATTCACTCCTTTGAGAATAAACGACATGTTTATGATTGAAAATGTTCCTATTTATCATTATGAGAATTTTGTCCCCACGAGAGACAACATGAATGAACTTTATCGATACCTTACTGATGAAGATACAAATTGGGAGACTAGAAATAACAGAAATATAAGTTTTTTTTCATCATTATTGAATTCCACATTGAAGGAATAACATTTCTTTATTGCATCAAAACTACTTCCTACTATGAAAACCAGTAAAGTGACGAAAGAAAATGAGATTTTGAATTATTGTATTCAAACCGGAAGATCTATTGATCTTGGTGCTTTAATATTTAAGTCTATTTTGGGTTTAATCATCAATGTATCAACTTATGAACTGTGACATCCATCTACCATATTCCTGTTGTACAGCTAGTCGCAAGTGCTTTATGAAAATTGGGAAAAAGTGTTTCTCCCTTGGAAGCCAATGGACCCAGAAGCTTATTGCAACTGCACAAGAATTGGGGAGGAGAACGATATGAATATATTGATGGATCAATCATCTCAAAATTCATCGCCTAATCAACCTTACTTTCGTTCAAATGCACTTTTGAATAGGATTAAAAAGTTGGAAAAAGATGTACAAAATCTTATACATTCAATTGAAAATATTTCTGAAATGCTTGACAACCTGGATTGGAGGATGAAGGAACACTTCGAACACACTGGACGTATTGAAGAAGGTTTAGTGCTCATGTTTAAGAAAAATGCTTGTGTTGAAGAAGATTCAACTAACGAATTTTCTCACTGACCTTTTAACAGCTTGTACGTACACTATCAATCCATGGGAAACATTTAAGAAGATGAAAGTGAAGAAGATGTTTGAACTCATTTTAGTACGGAATTTCTAGTTATAATTGTTTTTATATGTTATGTGTTTGTTTTGGATTTAATTTATTTTATTGCGGAACTTTATATGTGTTGTTTGTTAAATGTTTGATATTTAGGCTTCAGCATTGAAATAAAGCCAAAATAAAAATTGCTTTTTCAATATTGATTTATTTATTTACTATAAAATACAATTACCTTTTGCACATAATTTTTTTGTATATTTTTATTTTCTATAAATATTAAATTGCATTTCATTATATAAAAATTTATGTAATTTTTTTCTCAAATGTTTTTTTTTTTAATATTCCTTATGCTCTCTGAATAAAAATAGGTAATATGAATTTAGATTAAGTTAGGTTCGGTAAAAAAAAAATTTCTAACCTATGTCTCCTTATATTATGTTTGTCATTTTTTCTCTCGGGATTCGAACCCCCGACCAGAAGAACTTACGTCAGAGGCCGCACCAATGAGCCAGGTCATTCGCGCGCGCGCGCGCTCACACACACACACACACACATATATATATATATATCTTTGTTTTTCTCTTAAGACATGTTTCCCTCTTTGTATATTAAATTCATGAAATTAAACTTCCTCTTCATGGATAGATCAAGAATTAAGGCATTTATGGTTTTTTGGCATGTTACCCTCTATATAATAAATTCAATAAGTTAACCTTCTCTGTGTTGTAAGATAAAGCAATAAGTCTTTTATGGTCTTTCAATGAAAACTTTAAAATTACCTGAAACTTTATTTTTGATAAAGAAAGAAGGATGTTACCTTTTCAATGCTTTATAATGTTTGCTTCAGGAGATGAAGGCAAGCAGAGCTGTCTTATGATTCATTTATTACTTATTCAAGGCAAGACAGGGAGCAATCAAACATAAGGTGATCATAAAAGGGGTTTTATTGATTAATATGATATATAAAGGAATGATAAGATATTATTACAATTATTTTTAGAGAGAGAGAGAGAGAGAGAGAGAGAGAGAGAGAGAGAGAGAGAGAGAGAGAGAGAGAGAGAGAGAGAGAGTAGGGAGAGAACAAATATAAAAATTCATATGCCAATAAAATTCGTTCATAAGGAGTAATGCTTATCAACAAAAGAAAATAAGCAAAGTTTGAAAGATATTATTGTGTCATTAATTTTTTTCTTATTCATCAAACTAACACTCCTAGTATTTAAAATAAACTTAAATACAAAAAAAAGACAGGTTGTTCATGCGACGTGTGCATTTCTGTGTATGTATTGTTTATATGATATAAAAAAAATTAATTAAAAATTTAGCAAATTGCTAAAAAAAAATGTCTGTAGTTTTGTATGTTCTTCATAGTTTAATAGTTTTATTATGAATGAAATCATTTTGATATTACTTTTCTACATATTAAAATTTTTAGTATTGGTGTATAAATGAAGCCCTACCATCAATTAATAAAATAAGATCAAGGTTCAACTATAAATCATCATAAATTATTAGAAACTACTAAATAACCTTAATTTGATTTAGACCAAAATGGAGCGAAGTTTCAAGCTTGGATTTGTAACTATGCTTGGTTTAATATACTTATTTTGCATCATCAAACCATAATTTTTTAGTCATAATTCTACTAGCATGAGCAACCAAGTCAAAATATATTCATCATCTTAGAATACATCAAGATAAGGTCAATGAAAAATAGTAAGGCTAATACATCCAATCAAATAAAAATGCCCAAAAACTCACTTAGCTTGAGAATTGAACTAGCTTTATTCGACTTTAACAACCTTGAGTGTTGGAATAATCAAATCTATAGATTCTAACCTTAAATTAAACTGGCATATTGATTGAATAAGCTAGAATTGAAGGATTTACATAACAAAATCTTAGGCTCAAACAGCCTTATGTTTCAAGTCAAATTAAACTCCAATTTCATAAGCTTAAGAATAAAAAACTTTAAATTATGTAATTAGTAAATCCAAATGTCAAGTTTATTTTATAGATTCAATATGCTCCAAAAATCATTCTATAAATACATTTGTAGTATGTTGAATAAGTATTAAGTCACACTTTTACTCAATAATTTTAAAAGTGCGTACTTACTTTTGACATAGTGGTAGAGGGTATAGTTTCCCACAAAGTAGCCGCGAATTCAGATCATGCATATTGCCCTTCAGGTTTAGCTTTCTTGAAAAAAAAAGAGTTTTAAATTTGAATTGGTAAAACAAAGCTCAACTCATACCAAAATTATATCCCCATCAAAACTTCTTCTTAAAAATTATGTTGGTCCAACAAACTTCCATTGTGACTTCTTTGCCGATATGAAAATGTTCTTCAACCTGCTCCAATCATCAATCATGAATTCTTCGTCATTCTTCATTGGATGCATTATATTCACAAGTCGAACTTGAGAGTGCCATTTGATCAATGACCTAAATTTGAGCTCAATATGTTGGTGCAACTTGAGCCTAAGTTCAATTTAGAGGTTGTTATCAAACTAACCATCCAAGTTTGAGTTAACTGTGAGTTGAACTTTACTCAACTCATTTACACCGCTAGCATATATAGGTTCCACTCTCAAAGATTCTAACAAATTTTATCCCCAAGGCCTTTTATCTTCGGGGAGCTCGTGGACTAGATTCCAACAATTAACAATAAAAAGGTTTTTATATTACAATCAAAGCAAAATAATACTTAAAGACAATTAACTAATAAATCTTTTCTATGGAATCATTGGATGTTAATAAGTTTAATTTATCCTTCCCTGTAATAGTTATACACTACTGGCAAACAAGCTGCAATTCTATATATATATATATATATATATA